GGCCGCTCCGGCCGCTATTGACTACTATGCATAGAAGATGTGTTTATAATTGAATTTTAATCTTAGTCATTAATTATTTTTATTTATAATCTAAAAGATATTATTTAGTTTTCATAATAAGACATGCTCTTACTAGATAGGTTCCCAACCCAATGCTTCAACCAGAATAATAAGAAATTATGTCTCATGACTACTACCTCATGCTATTGACATCCTTATTTCGGTTCTGATCTTTATCCAAATTATTATATATATAAACAAGAATTCTATTTACATGAAATGACATTTCCCATTAAACAGTTACACAGTCTTACAGCTACATCACTAGAAAGCAAATAATATTTTCATCCATGGGTGGAAAAGGCATACGAACCAGGTATGAAACAGTTAAAAGTTCAAACAACAGCTTACCAATCACTTGCAATAACGATATCAAATGCGTCTGCAACATTAGAAGTATCTTCCTGATTCCAGTGAAGTGCCATAGACTTCACAACTGTATCCCCAAATGCTCCAGAGTTGGCTTCAATGTTGCGCTGAGTATCTGATGGTCATGGAAGAGCAATCCAAAACTAGAAAAATATTTAATAACAGTACATTCTCTAAAGGAATATTGCTGCAAGCATCTTTTCCTTCTTTTAGGAAGAGCTTTAGTTATTGTTTTGATTACAATGGAAAAAAGAAACTTCAGTAAGAACGTTAAACAAGTACAGGAGTGACCAACCCAAAATCAGAGTAAAGGACGCTGAAACACAAGCAGGGAGTAATACCAACAGACTACGTCAGTTCTCTGAAAAATATAACATCTGTAAGTTGATACTGATAGTCGCCGATACTTAAATGTGTCGCTACTTCAACCTATAAACGGCTTTATTAATGCATCTATATATTAATTTTTAGATGCAATGTACCAAAATAACATATTTGAATAACCAGTTTAATCAGTTGTTAACAACCTCTCCCTCTCCACACCTTTAATTTGGGGCAATGATCATTTTGATCAATTAAAGTATAGCACTACACCTAACTTTCCCACAAGTATAATCCTAGATGGTCATGAAGCTTTCCTCCGCAAGCATAATCCTAGACTGTAATCAAGCTTGTTCATGCATGCATCCCTCAATAGAACAAGACATTGAAAAATCCTTGAATGCAACAATACAATCCCACAACCACAAGTACTTTTCAATTTTATCTTGACGCATGATGAAGCCAGTATAACACTGCATACAAAATACTACCACAAAACAGATCTTGCAAACATTCAATTCAAAGTCACTGAAATTGGAAAACAGTTTCGTAAGATGTATCCTGTGGTAATTTCATGCATGCTTGAATTTCCTAGACACAGTAATTATAAACAGCAGAGCTAAATGTAAAACAGTGCATCAGTTCTGAATTTAATAAATATCAGAACTAAACAAAAGATTGTGAATCAGTTTTGGATTTAAGGTTCTTATCAGTGTTATATGGTTTGTGGTATGATTAGGTACGTGGCAAGGAACTTTTCTGCATACACAGTACAAGATGATATGATTAGTCAGTTCATTCGTTTGGATTAAGATTCGTTTAGGGTTTTGATTGCTAATTTGCTATGCATAAACTTCAATGTATAGTATTATGTAGTAAAACTATTATGAAGCACAAGTCATAAAATAACAAAAGCAATTGAAAAGGCACAAAATAGCTAATGTTCATATCCTTTTTTTTTTCGGTTGTTTTTCTGTCTATAGTGATGCTGTGGAATTTGCACCTTCTATCCCTTATGTTCTATTGTGTTCCCAACCCTTCTCCCCCTCTTGCAGCCTTTCATCCATGTACAGCTGCTGCCCTTGGGTAGGTTCCTTGACTTCCTTCTTCATTGGCTCATCTTTCTTCCTCTTCTCTATATTTTCTTTCTCTTCTATTCTTCCATCTCTTGAGTAACCCTGGAACATTTATCAAAATTTTGGTTCTATACAACCATATGAAGCCCTAGATTCAAATGAACCATTTAATATTGAACATTTTATTAGTAAGTTATCCTTATTACTGAAAATCCAGAATGTTATTTCTTGTGCAGCAAGGCAAAATATCTGTTTGTGCCCTTCCTTGCAAAAGCGCCTCCTCCCTAATCACAAGGAAAAGACAAGCCGATCACAACTCCCAGTAATAATAGAAGCTTTTGCCTTTTCAAAAAAATAAAATAAGCTAGCAATTTGCTGCACAGGAATGAGAAAACTCTTGCTAAGTTTTCTATCATTTCCCAACATGTTTGTCCAGGTTGTGACATACTAGCTTTGCTTTTGCAATATCTAATTTAAGTGATCTATTTCCTTTACATAAGAAAGAAAATTCAACCGACAATTGAGATTTACAATAAGTGTCCATACCCTTGGACAGTTACTTCCATTGTCAAGCGAAGGACATATAAATCTATAGTGCAGCACAACAGAATATCACAAAATTGCCAATTTGCCACCACCAAAGTTGTCTGATTGGTCAACCTCCACTCTGTGGTAGAACATTCAAAGCCTCTTACCAAGTTCATTACTCACTAACCATCCTATCTGCCATGGTAATGGCAGACATCACTCTGCAGTGAATAAACACACTTGCAAATGAGGTTAAACAAAGTTTAGGGAAGAAACATTTCAACCAAGGTTTTCAAACTCGAGAGTTTCCATAAACTCATGAAGGCTTCATAAATTCAAATCATAAAAAATAATAATACTAAAATAACTATAAATAACATAATAACTCAACATTCCAACTCCATAATTAAACAAAGTGGCAAACTACAATAATAAAGCAGCAATATAATTAGTGTATACAATATAATTAGTAACAAGTGTATGCAATATAACAATACAACTAGTATTCAGCACTCTCAAATCGGTGTGTATATATCCCAATACAGTACACTCAAAGAGAGATAAAACAAGAAAAGATGTAGCTGCGTTTAGAGAGAAACAAAAAAAACACCAGGAAATACAGTTGAAAAGAGAACAAAGATGAAAAGACGGAGAGTAGGGTAAAGTCATTAACTAACAGACATTCAATGCGAGCAAAATGGTACTCTGGTCTGGTCTAGTTGAGCAAAAATGATGCTCTAGTCAAGCAACAGAGAAATTAGAAAAGAGACAAGAGAAGGAAGAAATTGGGACCCAAAATGGAGAGTTGCTGCGAGAGAACAAAAGAGAATCCTAGCTCTCTATTATGAAGAGAAAAAAATGGTGACCCAAAATAGCCCTACACAGCATCGTTTGGAGCTAATTTTTTATGCCCAACTAAACTCGTGATTATACTCGAGTTTACCTAAGCTTACTTAAAAATGACTTTGCAAGCAAGTTAAATTGTTTCAAGATGCAGGCACCTAAACTCATTTTTTTTACAAGTTGGCTTGTCATATTGATAACCATGATATCAACTAACGATTGCATCAGATGTATTATCAAATTAGATTTTACATATATAAGAAATCCAACCTCTAAGAAAAGTTTAAAAAGGAAAGAAGAAATTTAATTAAATTTATACCCAGAACAGAAGGCACTATAGTACCCTTCATATCCATTTTGGCAAAGATATTTAACTCTTTAAAATACAATTAATTCTCTCTTTTAAAAGCATAAGTTAAGAACTATTACCATACATATAACTATACCAAAAGGATACAATCAACTACTTGTGGATTTCCATCTGAGATTACAACCTCTGATGCCTCCGTAGCAGCTGCAATAACAAATCCAGCCAAGCCATAACCAGAACCAAGCTCGATAACTTTTTTAGACCTAAAAGAATTTAAATTCATACAAAAAAAAAAAATTATACCAGCCAAAGATAACAGAAAAATAAAAGTGAAAAGATGCCAGCAATACACCAGAATAAAACCTTCAAGAAAGAAAGGAACTACAGTTTTTCAAACCTGAATATATCTGCATGTGACAAGCAATAGTGAGCAAGGACATCTTCCGATGGCCAATTACCTGCAGAAGACATCATGAATTTATAAGGATAAACTGCGAAAAGAAAATGTCCAGAATTAATATTTAAAAGATAATGAAAATCATAAATCATTGAAATGGTCAACTATAGTCTTTCATCCAAAATGTAGGATCAGCTAACAAAGTCAATGCACAAGGCTCCTGCCTAGTAACTAGTAAGGTTTAGGGAGGGTAAATTTATGCAGTCTTACCCTACCCCCACACCCCCACAAGTATAGAGGTTGTTTCAAGGATTTGAACTTGTGACACCACCAGGTCTCAACACAAGGTTGCAACCAGGGTTGGAAATAAGTCAGGCTATTCAACACGGAGAATTGAATCATGATCTAGCCTACATAAGGCTCAAGCCAGGCCAGACTTTATAGAAAAAATATGTCAAACCAAGGCTTTTATTAAAGACTATTCAGTTAAAAAGATCAAGCTCTAAACCATTTAAAAAGCCTATTAATGCTACCAGGCCAGCCTATTTAATAAAAATAAATACATGTTTATTATTATTACATCAAAATTTTTATAATTTATTAGTATTGAAAGATAAATTTATGTCCTATGCAGAGATCGTATCACAAAATGTTTTTAAATAAATTATCATCATAAATGTTATATTAGACCTTAAACATAAGCTTATATTATATAAACAGGTTAGACTAAATTTTTATAAAACTTTTTACTTCGATCTTGGTGTTAAATTATTACAAAATAGACTTCACCCCTAGTTATAACCTTATCATTGCACTAAGGCAGTACTTAAAAATGCACAATTTCTACATCAAAAAGTTTAGGAAATTATAATGTATCTTCTAGTGGCTGAAATGAAAAATTACCTCAACAGCAGATAAAACCTTATTCATTTTGGCATAAAATATGGCTTAAAATAATGTATTTGTAAAAAACACCTTATCTACATCACTACATCCAAACTTTTGTTTGACTAGTAACAAAGGGA